AATTAAAGTTTTTGTCACTTCTAGCAGAAAACGCATTCTATAAAATGTCAGGGGGAAAAATCTTTTATGAAAGGTTTTTTGTGACAGATTGTCGTTAAATGGCGAACTTTATTTACAGTACGAGCGTATATTACTACAACGCGGTTTTGTCGTTGTGGCTACAGCGTTCCACGTCGACGATTCGACACTCCTTCGCCCTTGCCCGGGACCTTGCCTTAGAATCATTCAGACCTGCTCGTCCAAGGGTGGGGCCTGACCCTAACCCGGCGCGGACTAGGTTCGTCTTTTGGAGGAAATCAGAAAACGTGACTATATCAGTTCAATATTTGTAAAGCAGCTGGAATAGTGTGCCAATATGTGTGCAAAGTGATTGTATATATGAGGGGCAATGTATGCAGCAATCATATGCTGTGCCACACCGCAGTTGTTCGAGCAATTCCTCTCCGGGAGGTGCTGTGCGGCGACTGTTCGGGGCAGAGGTAGAGGGTGAGGGGGTTGGCTCGGCCCAGACTAAAACGTTTTCAATTAAAAGGTCGCTTCGGTAAGTGGATCTCAGCGGGGTGCTGCGCGCGGAGTGGTGGAGCTGGGTGGATGGACGAAGCTGGGGCTGGGGGGCCTGGGCTCAACGGTAACGGGGGGTGGGGGGCTGTTTTACGAACTGCGTAGCAGTTATAGGAAAACAAGGCGACAAACGGTGAGCTTATTTCAGTTTCAAATTACACGACAATAACTGCTTATTTTTGGTTGTGAATCAATCAATGTATTTTTGTCTCATTGTTTTATGCGTGCGTCTCTGCAGTTTTTTTTCTGCTTTACTACTCTTTAGGCACTTTGGGGATTGTATTGCAGATTTTATTCCACTGCTGAGTTCTGCAGCGACATCCTGAAGTGCTGGGTTGCCGCGTTTCACGTCAAAGCACTCCCCCAGCTCTCCGGCCTGTAGCCACGGCTCCTCGCGCAGCCGCACGCCGCCCGAGCTGGGTCTAGGCCGCGCAGAGCAAACAAACTTGCTCGCACGCACTCTACACACGCGGATGCACCGGTTCCGCAGAGCTGCCGCACCAGCCCACGCCAGCTGAGGGGGTGAGACTGGGGCCGGGGAGAATAAGTGAACCAACCAACCACGATGTACATCGTGCATCCAACCAAGCCCTTGTCAATGGCGAACGGTGGCCTACACACCTACCGCTACCGAGTGGGAAATCTTTCGAAAACACAACGCACGAGCTGTTTCTTAGCGTTTCACGGTCTGCTTTTCGATTATTTCGGATTGTGTCAAGGTATCTGCGATGTTTCGGAGGTATGTCGCAACTATTTCGCCACATATTTCACAACTATTTTGCACATTACTCGTTTTTATTTCGCCTCATTTTGAATACATTTTGCGTGCATGTGTACGGTTTATTTTAAAAGAGAATTCCCCACTGTATAAATTTCTCGTCATGATGCCGATAATACCATGACTAATTTTTAGTACAGTGGTGTCGTCACTAGTTTTCTTGTAACCTGTGAAGAGATGTGACTAGAAGATCCCTGGCGACATAAGCGTGACAAGAAATGTATACAGTGCGTACCCAGCTAGAGTGTATGGCCCCACCGGGGTCACAACGCCCCTAGATGGAGGGGATTTGGGGGGGGGGGGCGTCAGCCCTACATGCCCACCGCGCATGACATGGAAGGGCTTAGCCGCTAGGGTCGGCTCCGGCCGGACCGAAATACCTCTGGTCATTTGTGGCCTGGTTCTTTCAGGCCAAGTGAAAAGGAGATATGGTGTGGGGTGGGAGAACAGCGCGCCAGGTGGCAGTCGGAAAGTAGGTCATTTTCATTCCTGGATGCGCTTTACGCGCACTCACTCGAGTCCCGCGTCGGTGCTCTCGCGAGGCTCAAATCAATATGCGGAACAAAAAGGGCGTCCGACACCTCTCCACTCCCACCCTTCCGCGCTCAGACCAACGCGGACCAACAACGCGACAGACCGAAACCATAACAGCTGTAATAAAAGTTGTGTTAGCAGAGCAGCCCACGGATGTGGTGGGGTGGTCCAGTGGGCGCGGCCCGTTTGTTCACAATGATATGACTTTTACAAAACAAAATTGGAACCACCATGGCTCTCATTATTTCTTCAGAGGTTTTGGTGGAGGCGTTATATTGGCGTATGTGCATTCACCTCTGTTCGACGTGTTCGTCTTTATATAACTGTCGCGGTTTTGGTGGGGGAAACATGGCTCAAGTCGGCAGCGCCCCTCTTGTGTCCTTGTATACGCCGCGCCCTGTCCGTCTATCCAGCCTCATTCTGCGCTGTGGCTTGATGAATGGCTGATAGACACTTTGGGCGGGATCAAAGCAGGGTGAGTTGGGGCGTCTCCATCCATACTCACCTCCCCGCTCTCCGCTACTCGCCTCCCTTGACCTCGCCCGGCCCTCATCTCCCCTCCACCTCAAAGGGAATTTATATCAGGCCAGAGCAAACTCTCTGCTCTGGAAGGCGTTTCCTCGGAACGTCGCTCCCACCTGTTAGCGGTTCGCGCACAGCCTACATCCCTTCCGTCAGCCTGCACTTTTGTCTGTCTCTCCCTGTTACAGGAAACCATCTTTCTTTCTTCTTTTAAAGTTATAGCACCAGTTTTTGTTAAAGTTACTTGGCTGGTCTTGTAGTCTCCTTTGACATCACAGCAACCAACACGCAATGCGAATGTTAAGTCATACTAACAAAAGACTCACTACAAGACTAGACCAAAGTCAAAACACTTGTTGACAAAAGTTCGTGCAACTCCGTCAATGGAACCATTAGTTACTGAAGATGGATCTTCACCCATACTATAAATCAAGTCAGTTTAATGGCGATTTATAGCATTCACTGTACGGCTGAGTTCATCAGCTTACGCACCTGATTTGAAATCATTTTTCGATGCATCCATCATCATCATACATCATGACGCTTAGTTGTAAAACTACTGCGAATTTTTTTTAATAACAGTGCTCTTGAGAAGTGAGACTGTTTTGATTAAGAAATTGTTTCCGGAAGTGTCAACTGAAACGGTTCACTTTGTGAGATACTTGCGACGCGTTTTGAAGTGACACGGAACACGGCAGAAGGGCGTTTCGCAAAAAAAAAGGGGTACAGCTACTTTGTAGGCTCACCTCGCCTCGCTTCTGTAGGTGGGGGCAGCAATCTTGACATATTTGGGTTTGTGTGATGGCCCAGTTCAAGTTTTAAAAGTGTCTTTAAATAGCATTTGCAAAAGAATAAAAACAATGGAAAATGGGAGTTTATATAAAATATAAGTTTTATATTTTTGTATATGCCATTTAAATACGCTTCTAAAGCACTTACTAGGCCATCAAACAAGCCTGAGTATGTCACGATGATGGCCCCCGTCTAAAAGATATTGCCTAAAAAGTGTACGTACCGCATTTTTGCGTGATGGACTCCTGGAACACGGTAAGAATTAACCTATTATGTACACCGAAGCGACCCTCCCGAATCCCTGGCCCATGGCTCTTGCCAACCCTTTGGCTCTGGCCGGCTCCAGCGCTCGCTGGGCGGCTGGATGGAGTGGCGTGGCACCGCGTGGAGGCCCACCCCCAGCTATAGAGGGTGGATCGGCCCGGCGTGGAGCAGCCTGCAGTGAGGCAGTCGGGCTTGGCGCGTCTCTGCCGACGGGCGTACGCCTGCTGCCGCTCGCCGCACGGGACGGTGTGACGTCCCGTCACACGCCGTCACACGTTGTCACACGCCGTTACGCGATGCCTTATTACTTTCTGTTTGAGTGTCATTTAGTGGTCCCGTTACGAAAGCGTGACGCTACTATGACCAGGCTGTGACGATCCTGCCGTTTTGTGTCATTGTGCCGTTTTTCGTCCGTCACGTGATCAATCCAGTGGCTTACTCAGCTGTCAGCGTTACCCAGTGTGTTTTTCCGTAACAAGTTGACTTGTTTTACCACTACCGTGGGACGTGCCAAAGTTTTGTGACTTGGTTTTACCCGTCTCTTCTGGACATTTGAAATGTGGTCCTTACATCGCTACTTAATGAAACGTTTGGCGTTTCTCCTTGACTTAATTATAAATGTTTATGAAAAGGTTAAGAATTGTTCTTTATATCTAATTAACTTGCTTGTAATCAAGACTGTACTGTAATTGTCTTGGCACTGTTGTTGTATTCTTACACTTTAAAATGTTCGATACGTATGGCGTTTCATACGAAGGTATTTTCGCTTGTTAGCAATTTCATTTTACTTCAAAACAGCACATTTCGTTACTCAGGATGACAATGCCGTGAGACATCTCAACATGACGGTCGGCTTCGTCGTCATGAAACGACATTGTGTGTTTATCAATGAACTGCCGTAAAAGTCTCGTACAGTTACAACAAAAATGTTAACATTGTGCTGCGAAGGCTGAAGCTGTAGCCTACTAGCACTGGCAAAGAAATTTTGCAGGGCTTCTTCAAAATCTGCATCATTTCCGACCCTGAGAAAAATGGCAAGCGGTATGGTATGATAGGATTTAGAGGTACCATGAAATTATTTCTGACCCAACACATTAAATGGGAAGATACAATTTTGTTGCAAGAATGGACGCGATTTTTATCACACCACACACACATTTGCTTCGGAACAAAGTAATCCTTCCTATTTAGTAAGAATATTCCATAGATGCAAACCAAAAACTTGGTTGCAACTAGGTGAGTGTAAGTGTTGGGTCAATCATATTTTCATAATCAACCCTGGACTAATCAAATCATATGGTTTTATCAGCTTGCCATTTCAATGCTCTCTCCCTCTTACTCTCCATGCCCCCCCCCCTTTTCCCCCCCCCTCTCTCTCTCTCTCTCTCTCTCTCTCTCTCTCTCTCTCTCTCTCTCTCTCTCTCTCTCTCTCTCTCCTCTCTCCCACTCCTTGCCGCCCCATGCCACCCCCATCCTTTCTCCCACCCCATCTGTCTCGCCTGTCCGACCAAGAAGTTTGCTTCGTCTGATGATCTGCCCTTATCAGCTGTCACCTCGGGCGGCATCACCACCAGCCAGCAGCAAGTGTCACGCAAGGGGTGGCGAGAAACGGCAGCGTTGGCAGCGGCCGGTGTATGGAGACTCTCCGATACGCGGGACAATGTGGTCCGGGCCCGGCCGGCGGCAGTGACAGCAACATACATGTCTAATACACATGCACAATTGCTGCCTGCCTACCTCCCAAACAGTGGCACGTCACGGTCCATCACTATTCCTCATACAGTAAGAGCTTGTGAATGAGCAGTTGATTTAAACTGGATCATTACCAGACATTTTTTCGGCTCTGGAAGCTTCTAAAGCTCAATTTCATTTCAATTATTTGTGACATTTTAATTTTGCTCGACTTGTGAGGATTCTCAAATTGGTTTTTGCGATATGGATGAGGGTGGTGGGCGGCGTGTGCCATGTCGAGCTGCCGAGTCAACCTCGCGGTAATTTTAACGACGAGTCTCCCGTGCGTAATTGGTGGAGCTAGCTCGTTGCTCGTCTGTGATGTTCACAGTTCCTCCTTCTCCCCAACCCCTCTAATTAGATTATCTGTCGGGGTCCCTACACCCAACCTACTCTAAGGTGACTTTCATCATCGCCAGCTAGGATGTTGTGTGCAGGCATATATATTTCAGAGTGGCAATAAAGGGCTTTGAGTTTATGGCGGATCAATTTCTTGTCGCAATCAAACAACAACAGAATAGCTCATCAAACTGTGGAAAATTAAAACGTTTTCCATGTTTATGGGGAAATGTTATTGCCATTGTGTTGCCTTTGGTTTACATATTACCATCAGCAATGTGATGACGTCAAGTCCTAGCACACCTCCACATGGCGTTGATGGTAGTCTTGTCAATAATCGCACAATGTGCATTTCATGTTTCTTCAGGCTGATGTCGTGGGCAGGGTCAAGGTTTGCGGCCAAACAGACACGCAATTAGAAGACTAACTGGCCCATGCACCCGATAAGACTTTTTAGCTTAGATTAGTGCATCCTCAGCGGACGAAATTCTTTAGTATTTTAAGTACTACATTATAAAGACTCTCTAAAGACTGTGTGCGCGTACTCATATCGAATGAAAGGCTAGTAATGCCAGAAGAACTGCCTGTATCCAGGAAAGTGCTATCAGAATTAGAATCAATCAGAATTAGTTCTGCTAACGCATCCTAAAAGGGCCCAAGTCGTCTTAAGTCGGTGAGCAATGCGCTGGTGCACTAAGACGCGCGAACGCGCGTCCTCCAGCTGAGCAGATGTCCCACTTCAAGGACTACAAGTTCTTCCGGAGCCTCAGCACCCGAGCGGAGCGCTGGCCAATGCGGAAGGCAGAGCAGTTCTGGCGGAAGCTGCGGGAGCGCAAGATAGCAGGTGAGTGTGTGGACACATGGCACTTGGGCATGCGTGTTTTCCCATTGGGTCTCTCTAGTTATTGTGCTATTTGTTAAAACTGATGGAGTGCGACCAGCGCGACCTTGTAAAAGAGTAATTAAATGCGTTACTCTGGTAAGGGGTGAGAAAGGCAAGGGACAGGGACGCAACACGTCCCATATTCAGCCTCGGTCAGCAGCATGCCGCCCGATGCCGCCCCACCATTCTCAGACCAATCGGGCAGCCAGGCGCGTTGAGTTGCCTAAGCGCCAGGGAACTTGTTGAGCACTCAACTATCTACAGGCTTTTCGTTAGGTCGTTCCATAAAGCCCCGTTGGCCTTAATTTTTTTGGTGGTACGTGACTTTTACCGCAACAATACACCGCCCAGTTTTTGACAATCTCTTATTTTATTATTAGGTTTGGGTAACCTTTTGATGCCTTTGGCTTGGCTTGTCTGGGCTCGCAAGCGCTCCAAAAGTCTACCCACTAAAATATTTAGAACTTTTTCGCTCATACCTGTAAATATACTCAGCTTACGCACCTTTTAACTCGCCAGTATAAACCAATTTCTTCATATTAGCGCATTAAAATATTTTTACTGAAATCTGTAAACATGCTCAGCTTTCGAATTTTTAGTCACGCTTGAACTGCCTGCCTAAAGAATTATTACTAAAATCCATAAACATGCTCAGCTTACGAATTTTTTAATACGCTAAAATGAAGAAAGCTGTTAATAGTGGTGAATTAAAGTGCGTCAGCTAAGCATGTTAACAGATTTTAGCTATGGACAATACAAGTTCATATGGGATTTTCGTCTATACGATTTGGCCTCCTGGCGCAAATGTCAAACACACCCTAAATTTACTATTGCGGTTGCTTCGGACATTTACAAACCGTTGATCCAAAAGAGCCCCTCCCCTATGCAGGAGCGTATCTGAATCTGAGGGAGTTTTAGAGCTTGTGTGTTCCCGACTTCCAGGGGCTCCTTTTTATGTTATCTCGTTTTATCTTATAAAGGCTGAGAAGTCGAACATGTTTGCCATGCCCTTATGGTCATTGGACATGTAAAAGTCCTTTTACAGCTTCTGCCCCAAAGAACTAAGTGCCTTTCCTTGGCTCCTACATCAATATTTGATCAGTAATGTTCAGTGTCAATTCCTTGTTGTTTTTTTTTTTAAACTTTTTCCTTCTCACTGCCGCTCAAAGCGTTCCTGCTCCTTTTTTTTCGTTCATATTGGGTAATCGATCTGACTTGCCCATCCCAATTATAGCAGTACAGAAGCTGCAATCGACAGAAATACACCCCCTGTAAAGTCGATGGGACACTATCTCCCGCCTTCATCCACCCTCAACCCCCTACCAGCCCCCCCCCCCCTCCCCTTTTCCTCTGACCTGAACCCATTCCTGGTCCTTACCCTTACTCCAACCTTAAAGGCCCTACTCTCCTAGGTTCTTTTCCTGCCGGTCGTGCATGCGCTCAATAAATATAAATGGACCCTGGAGACATGATGCAGTAGAGAGTAAGCGAATCCGCGGTGTGGCTGGAGGGAGACGAGACTAGGTTGGGCGGGCGAGGGATTTTGATGATGAGTGCTGGGAAGTGGGCGAAAGAGGGGGAAAGGGGCTAGGAGAAGAGGGTGGTTGAGTTGTCTTTCCGCTCGGCGCGTCTTTCAGCGCTGATGTGTGCCGTGCCAGACTGGGGTGAGCGAGTTGAGGGCATATGCGGCGTGGCAGGTGGGGTAGGGGTGGGAGCGGTTAAATGATGAGGTCTCATGCAGGGGTTGGAGGGTTTTGCAGCTGGGGCTGATGCTGCGGTCACGTCGTCGTCGTCGAGCTCAGCCACGGACTGGGATTGGGCGGCGAGAGAGAGAGAGATAGACAGAGACAGAGAGAGCTGCTCAATGTGACGGGCAATTAACGATAGTGAAAAGGCAATGCTGACACCCCAAAACCCACCGGAAACAAGAAGTTTGCTCTTGATCTTAATAATCTCATGCCCGATAGATTAAAATTACTTAAGAAATGAAATAAATACACAAGAAAAGGTGGGCATTTGTACTTCTTTTCATCAATTCATAGACATTTTCTGCTTCAGTGCTTTTAAGGGGTTCTACTTAAGTTCATACGTATCAATACCGTGCGCAGTCTTTTGCCGAAGTCAGGCCTGCGTTCTGCTTGTCGCATGCCTTGCCCTGTGCGACCCGCTCTCTGTGTGGCAGTATAACTTTGTAAGTAGGGATCAGCAAAGGACTTCTTGCAAAACTCTCTGCTGGCAAAGACTGGGACCTTGGGTACACTGGATGGCACGGCTCGGTCCCTAAACTTAAATTGAGTTATGTGTGCCTGGGCAAGTCTCGCATGCCGTGTGAAAACGGCTGAAAATAAGTCCTCGACTCCTCTGTGCGTTGTCGCCAACCACTGCTATGTGCGAGGCTATGTGTTTATCAAGGGAAAACCGTTGCTAAGCGATGGTAAAACCAAGTCGTCCCCATGCATTTCTTCCATAAGACACGTCTTGGTTCTTTCATGAAAACCAGGAAGCGGTTTTGGCCGTGTGGTGACCGCCGTGGTGGTAGGCAGCCAAACACACTCTTCTGTCAGTTAGCTTGCCTATAGCTCCATGCGCGGGCGTTCTACAACAGCACTGTATAGGGCACTTGTGAAGCAGAACTGTGTGCAGCGGAGGGCGCGCTCCAAAATTTGAAGTGATCTTAGAGCACTTGCCATTATTGCACCTTGTCACAAACCCTTTGGCAACGCCAAATGAAATAAGGTTTAAGCTCTGCCTATTTACTGCACCAACTCAGAGTTCTTGCCTCCTTCTATTTTCCCCGAGCATGCCGTAAGCCTCTATGCGAGCCGTGTGGTCGTCTGCTCGTGGCAGAAAGTCGTGAGTGCTGAGAAGCACGGCGGGAAAGCGCTCGCGCTCGAAATGAAGGCGCCGAGTTGGGCGCGTGGGTGAGGGGAAGAGGGGGAGACAGGACAGGGTAGGACACGAAGCGCGTGGTGTTGTCCCATATCCGCCGTCGTGTGCAAATCATTGTCTCCCCACCGAGCGTGGGCAGTGTGCGCCCGCACGGCCCGCTTCCTGCTGCACTGGGTCATCCGTCCGTTGTGTACTCGGTGCGCCGGCCTAGGATGCTGTATGGCTCTTTGCGTTTCCTCGGCCCAATCTCAGCCTAGATCAGTGCCTAGTCTGGCTCGGCACTGCACGGCCTGGGCTCCCATGCCTCGCCTCTACACCCGTGAGACTGGGCCATCTCTGAAGTCCCGCTCCGGGAGATACGACGTTACCGGGCTGTCACTGCAGCGCCGCGCCGCACCCCGCCGCCCCGGTGGGGCGTTGAGCACGGCCGTATAAATATCAGTGAAACGGAACTGCTTGTGCGAAGTCAAGCGTGGCACAGCACAGCCCTGCGCCCTGCCCGGCCTGCAAGCGGATAAATCATGGGGAAGCAGTGTTGCTAGTGGCAAGATGTGCTGCATTGGACACAGCTGAAGACTCGGCCGAAGAAGGGGACTTGTTGCACCCTCTTGGCTACACCCCTCCCCTCTGTATAAGTGCTGATAATCTCGACTCTTCTGTAAAATGTGTTCAGTAGCTACTTCTCTAGATGCTACCGGGTTTAGCAACAGCCTGTAGCAGGACGGGGCACTGGACACACATACACGCTCGCGACCTGCGGGTGCCCACTCGGAGGGGTAGGGGCGCGCTCGTCTGTGCTGCTTTCTCTGATAGCGGCGAGCGAAACAAGGAGAAGGAGTGTCTGTGTGTGTGAGAGAGAGAGAGGGAGAGAGAG